TAAACATTGTTGTTGTTGTTGTTGTTGTTGTTGTTATTATTATTATTATTATTATTATTATTATTCATCCAGGAACATATCCCTCATGTGTATAGAGTAATCATACAGCACACCATATTTTCTTCCCTCCTCCAAGCAGAGACAGGCTGCTTCTTGAATGTCTCAATTGCCTTCCCACTGGTAATAAGCTACAGGGAGGCCCTTCTGAGGATTGATGGTGGCCAGAAAGAGGAAGAAGGATATAGAAATATGCTGATAGAACTTTATGCTCCATCTGCTTGAGGTAGTTTCAGCCATGGTTGGCCAGGAACTCTGTGGTCATCTTCTAACTGAAGCATACCAGAACGCTGGAGGGCCTAGGAAATGCTTAGAAAGAACGTTTTCTCAGATGTGGGTAAATGAACTATAGATGTCAGTCCCATGGATACAGGGGTCATACTGTACTAAAAGCCTCTGCTTAAACATTTTAAATCAAGGTTTTTGCATAATTTCAGATTTTGGGCTGCAACTGGATGACAGTATATTCAGTTCCCACTATAAACACTCCAACAACAGCAACAACAACAACAATTTTATTCTTATAACCTTCCACCATCTCCCCAAGGTGACTCAGGGCAGCTTACAAAGGGACAAGCCCAAAGAATACAAATAAAACAAATAAAATCAACAGTAGCAATCAAATAAAAACATACCACAATCTCAAAGCAACATCATAAAAACAGTATCGTGACAGAAAGAAAATTGAGTCTGGGTTCAGGCTCAAAGTAAGTGCACTGGTTCCTAAATAGAGCCGAGGGAATGTGCAAAAATTCAAAAGGGCCAGACTAGATGGGTAATACCCTTAGCTGTAGAGTGCTGAGGCTACCGGAAAGGTTCCAAGGAAGCTTTAACCTTGAAGAAGGCAAATGCAATGGGAGAGCAACAATGAGGTCAGCTAGGAAAAAAGAGAAGGAAGTAGGAAAGGAGGTGGTCATAAAACAAAATCTAGCATGATGCTATTTTAGAGCAGGAGTCTGCTTCCCACACCTCTGATCCTCTAACCTGCTTATTCCCCTGCAAGGCACCATCTGGAAGCAGACTGTGATTAAGAACAGCCATGCTGTGGCTCCAGTACAAGTCAGCTTCTTCAGTGACTCACAGCTGGCTGGGCATGCCATTACTTAAAGGTGCCCATTACTCAGCTGTCTGCACTTCTCCAGGATGGAGTCTCTGCTTCTCATTCTGTTGTTTTCAAAAGATACAGACTATTAATTGATTTATGTTCTCATAATTTTCATCTAAATGAGTTTCAGTTCAAAGCTTAAACAACCGCAAGCATTGGGTGTATTGCAAGTGCAAGTTTGTCTCACTTTCATAGCAGTGCTACACTTTGGATCCATCTTATAGACCAGCTTTGCACTATACTGAAGACTATTGGGGAACAGCAGATCACTTTCACTTGCTGGAGGCCAGTGATGGTGTCATATCTTCCTGCTTTCTCAGTTTGGCAGGAGCAGTCCTGATTAACCTTCTATTGGTCTAATTTCTTAGTTACTCTCAAAATGTTTCAATTTCCCTCTCCTCCTTTTCCTTTTTCCCTTTACATCAATTGCTGCAAGCTAAGTTACAAGATCAAAACTAATTTGTACTCAACTCAGAATTGTCAAGAGAGTTGCAGAATGTTCCCAGAGTCTTAGGCAAAAGCAAACTGCTTCAGTCTCTCCTACCTTGTATGTTCTTCATCATTAATAACTTTTGCCATCTTTACCACATTCTGAGGTTATTTGGTCAAATGTCACTGAGGCCCCTTCCACACAGCTGAATAAAATCCCACATTTTCTGCTTTGAACTGGAATATATGGCAGTGTGGACTCAGATAACCCAGTTCAAAGCAAATATTGTGGGATTTTCTGCCTTGCTATTTTGAGTTATATGGCTGTGTGGAAGGGCCCTGAGTTTTCATCTCTTCAGCTCTGAAAAGTAAACTTGTGCATAATATGAAAGACCATCTTTCAATCAGCTTCCACAGACTGCTTTCCTGGAACTCTGCAATGCAACAATAATGAGGGCTTCTTCTTGCAACAATGAGTCCAATAAACTGAAAGGGTTTCTGCTGAAGGCAGAGAGTGGTTCTCCTGCTCCCAAGGTGTGACTGATATAACTTGGCAACTGTACCGGCTGCAAGACAGAAATTGTATCTGTCACTTCAGCAGTTATGCAGCAGAAGATTGTGAGATGATGGTGGCCTTACTGGTTTCATTAACACCTTCCTCCTTCTGTGAGGCATTCATAATGAAAACAGTGATGCTAGGCCACACACACCATTTTTAAAAATGTACCACGTTTTTGGTCATTCTTTCTTTTGCCACTTGGTTTTCTGTTGTTAGGTTCTTTCAAGTCAACTTGAATTTTAGCAACCCCATGAATGAGAGATTGCCATCTGCAGCCCTGCTCAGGTTTTATAGACTCAGGTATTTGGCCTCCAATCTATCCATATGGAAGATGGTCTTCTGCTTTTCCTACTGCCATCTACCTTACCAAGTATTATAGCATTTTCTAGTGAGTTCTGAACAAAGCATGACCATCTCTGTTTAGTTATGTCGGCTTCTAGAAAGAGTTCAGGCCTGCTTTGTTCTAGGACCCATGAATTTGTCTTTCTACTTTGACTTCAGTTGTAGCTGCTCAAGAAATGTGGACTACTCCAGCTTCTATGGGACACTTGATGATTTTATCCTGCAAAGGCCACATCCTTTCCCTTCACCAGCACATATTTCTCCATCCTTTATAAAAAAAACAATGTAGACAGATTATGGCACAGTAAAAGCCTCATCTGAAAATGCTCTGCATTTGTCTTCACAAATGATCAGAACAAGTGTTCCATTTCAGGTATTGTGCATTGCAATTTTTTCCAATCTAGTCAATTTGACATTGAGAAGAGCACAATTCCAGAGATGTTAGGTATAGCTTACAGAATTTATCAATTCCTACATATTTGCCCAGAGCCAAATTTTCAGAGCATCTTACTTTAGTGTCTAAATTTGAGACAATCGCGCCTGAAAATAGGTATGCATAGTTATAACTAAAGAGCTACTCTGAAAACTTCAGCAGTGCAAAGTGCTGTGCCAAGATTGTACACTGAGGCTTGTTGATGAATGCATTGTGGCTCCCTTGTTACAACAGTGACACTAATTAGTGGTCTGTTTCTGGGCATAATTCAAAATTATCTATAACGCCCTGTGCATCTTGATTCAGGCTAAGTGATATATCATATTATACAACATATTGCCTCCCCAGTCAGGATGTAGAGATTCTAGAACAAGTCTTTCTTTTGTTCCAACCATCTTCTGAAGCATTTTCAGTGTGGATAGAGGTAAGACTTCCTTGGTGGTCATTCCCAGACTCTGGAACTTCCTACTGAGGGAGCTTAGGAGCTGCTTTCTTCTCTGTTGTCTTTCTGATGACAAGCCAAGATTTTTCTGTTTGACAACTTCACTTAATAATAATAATAATAATAATAATAATAATAATAATAATAACTTTATTATTATATCCTGCTTCCATCTCCCCGAAGGGACGCGAGCCAGCTTACAGGGGACCAAACCCAATATAAACAAAGGTTACAAATAACACAATTAAAAATGCATAACAGTAAAATATATTAAAACAGTAAAACCAATGAAATATAAAACATCATAAAACATAAACCAAACATCAAACAACCAGTAGCTGGAAAAAAAAAGTCGGCATGTGCAGATTTGAGACTAATAGGACAGGACAAGGGATTGTGCAAATGCAAAACTGTAGGGCCAAGAACTATATATCGTAAAATAGATTATACATAGTAAAATAGACTAAATTTTGAATACTGGGGTAGTAGAGAAACAATACGCATGCCAATTTCCTTCTGTCGAAAGAATGAAACATATTCTACTAACCTTGAAAAGTTTTGACACTGATTTCACATAATAATTTGATTTTGCTTAGTGTGAGACCTCCCACTTGAGTTTGAGATCACCTGTACTGATTTCAGTCTCTCCCTCAAATGAAGGGCATATTTGGCTTAATGAGAAGGTGTACTTCAGCAAAACTGGTGAAACCTAGTTCAAAGGAGACAGTTTGTTCCTAGAGAACAGAACAAAAACCCCTGTTTGAAAAACTTAAATGTGGAATCACTTGCCATGGAAGATCATTTAACTGGAGAGGTACTACATTCTTCTTTTATTGCTGGATATTTTTAAACACTACATTCGTTCATTTTACATTTTTGCACAACTAGGTTAAGTCAAGCTGATTCTTATTCAAGGGAAAACATGGATTATAAATCAAATCCATCTGTCACTCAGTCAGTATTGATTTCAACTTTCTGAAATCAGAACTCTCAGATGCCCTTGCCATGTTATTGCATTTTTTTTTAGTATTTTAAAAAATGTAATTTTGAAAGTATGAGAGGTCAACATAAAAACCCATGATCTGTGGGTTTGCATTGCTTCTGCAGTTCTCACTGTAGCTACAAAAGTAAACTGACTTGCCAGACAGGCTCTTCTGTTTTTGAAGGCTTCGCCCTGCCTTGTGGCTGAATAAGGAGCAAACACTTTGACTCCTGCCTGCACAGCAGTGAAGTCATGGCCTGTCTCCTTCCAGAAAAGACAGATGACATCAGCATCGTGGGTCTGTGCCATGTAAACAAAACTGTACAGCCAATGCAAATGAAGCTGAAGGAGGCTTGATTGCACATACACATGCATATACACACAAACCTCTTTTCTATTCTAACTGGCAGCATGGTGTTCTCTGTATAGCCTTGTTTTTTGGTGTTTTTTTTTTAATCATAGCGGCTATGCCTGCAAACATTTCTTTGCAGGTATTTTTGATGGACAGATACTGATTTGCTTCAGGGATGACACAGTGTGCAGAGCTTGTTTGCTTAAGAAGAGGCTCCAGAATTCTTGGCAGGAGCTGTTGGATATCTGTTATTTCAAAAAGAAAATGATTATTTATCTTGGCCAATTTTCACACTCTAAAGTGGGACACTCCAAGATTTCTTTTCTGATTTATAAAAAAATTGAAAAGCATATAATTAGGAGACATGTATTTCACAGTCCACATCGTGGCAAGAACCTTGTTCCAATCACTCAAAAAGGCACAAAATTCAACCTAGTGGGTTGACCTAATAAAGGTATGGCTACCATCATTTGCTCTAACAATTAATCTGTTACAGAGATTCCCATATTTTGGCCCTCCAGTTGTTTTGGATGTCAAGTCCCAGTGTTACCAAAATCAGCTGCTCACCTGAAATGGTGCGTGAGGATACTTTGAGGCTGGGATAAAGGAGAAGGCAGCAGAAACAGAGATCCAATTTGGAAATAATGGGTACTTGGCACTAACAGACTTCGGAAGTTTGGACTAATCGCTTGACAAAAAGTGAGGCATGAAAAACTGGAAAGTCAATCAAGTATGCAAATAAAATCCTTGATGAGTACTGGGTCCTGAGGGTAATCAGTCTCTCAGTGAGGAGTCTACTCACCCACTGGAAGAATCTGTGTTGTTTCTCAAGACAGGCTTGTAAACCAAAGTCACATAAGCACTATGTAAGTTCTGAGATTTGAAAACCTTCAGTCCAATGGATCCTATTTTGGTCCGCTGAACGGCAGGGGCTCAGCTGTAGAAGCAAAATGGTTGTATACTGGAGCTGGTAGATCGGCTATGCAAAGATCCGCAATAGCAAAGAAGTTAAAAGGAAAAAGAAAGAGACAGTCCTAATGGATCAGACCGAGAGAAAAAGACAGGTTAGTTTTGTTGATTAAATAAATGTATGATTTTATATATTTGTGTGTTGGTGTTTCTTGGGGCAGCAGGATTAAGGGAAATTCAAGTTATTTCATTTTAGCTTATTTTATTTAGTTTCATCTTGAGGCTGAGAGGGTGACTCTACACAGTTTGAGCTTGCACTCTGGCAATCCTACTATCATCCCAGGCTCTAGATTTGAGAGCCAAAACATGTAACCAAATGGCAGCATAAAACATAAACCATCACCGAATGCTCTAAGTATTCAGATACTGGGTCATCCGCAAAGAACTTGCAAACACAGACAAGGAACTGCTGCATCCAGGCCCGTAGCCAGGATTTTGTTTCGGGGGGGGGGGGGGTGAGTTTGGTTGGGGGGCTGAGTCTGAGTGAAAGAGGGTCTACCCTAGCAAACCTTTTGTATTGTTATCCCAATACCCCCATGCATATGAGATATATTGAGCATGGTGATCAGATCATGATATGAATAAACATAACAGTTTAAATAATGTACCAGTAAGGCCTTCTCGTGGACCACCATGAGAATTGGGGGGGGGGGGGTGAAGCCCCCCAAATTCACACCATCCACAAAGAACTCGCAAACACAGACAAGGAACTGCTGCACCTCCATATCAACATCAGCCAGAAGATGAATTCCCAGGACTGGGACAAAATAGACAACCTCACTTACAGGAAAATGGAGAAAAACATGGCTGTCCACACCAACAGACAAAAACAAAAATTCCACAAACGCCAAAAGCAACAGCCGAAACCAGAACTGGATACATCACGGACCATCATCAACCTGACAGACAGACAACTCTCTGAAGACCAAGTATCCATACTAGCGAAAGGAGGAAACTTTGCTGTAACCGCCACCAGGATCCCAGTAGAAAACATCATTGCCAACATCGAATCAGAAATTTATCACCTCCCCGAGGAAGAAGCAGAAGAAGTAAGAGGGGAAACAGCAAGGATCCTGAAAAAGGCAAAACTTCCCTCCAGTAACATTACAAGGAAGGAAAGACAAGCCATCAGAGACCTCAACTCAGACCCTGACATCATCATTCTCCCAGCAGACAAGGGGAATGCCACAGTAATCATGGATACAGAACAATACAAGGAGAAGATCAGAAAACTCCTGGATCCTACTATATACAGAAAACTTAAACAAGACCCAACTTCCAAAATAACCAGAAAAACCAACACTCTGATTAAGAACTCCTCAATCAACTTTGACATACGACAACAGCTATGTAAATCGGAAGCCCTTCCACCTAGACTTTATGGACTCCCAAAAATCCATAAGGACTCCACCCCACTCAGACCCACCGTGAGTGCCATTGGACCCCTCACGTACGACTTATCAAAATTTCTTGTTGCAGTTACAAAGCCATATTGGGCTCACTCCACACTACATCAAGGACTCAGTTCACTTCATAGAAAAAAATCAGCAATCTCAAGCTAAATACCAACGACAAACTGATCAGCTTCGATGTGGTGGCTCTATTTACAATGGTCCTGGTAGCAGACACTATTGCACTAATCAACCAGAAGCTCCCAGAAGACATCACAGCTCTGTTTCACCATTGCCTCACCACCAGCTACTGTCAGTGGGACAATGAATTCTACGAACAGAAAGATGGAGTAGCTATGGGGAGCCCTCTCAGCCCGGTCATAGCTAATTTCTACATGGAACACTTTGAAAAACAAGCCCTGGAAACAGCAACAAAAAGCCCTCTATATGGTTCAGATATGTGGATGACACTTTCACCATTTGGAGCCATGGAGAAGAAGAACTCAACAGGTTCCTGGACCATCTTAACAGCATCCACCCAAACATCCAAGTCACCATGAAAAAAGAAAATGAAGGAAGACTGCTTTTTCTAGATGTCCTAGTCTTCCGTAAACCAGATCAACAGTTGGGTCACACTGTTTACAGAAAACCCACACACAGAGATATCTACATAAAAACTCCAACCATCACCCAAGTAAAAAAAAAAGCACCATTAAAGCTTTGGCAGACCGTGCAAAAAGAATCTGCGAACCCCACCTTCTCCAAGATGAACTGAACCACCTAAACTGGGTTCTACAGGCCAATGGATGCTCCACCTCAGACATCTGAAGAGCTGCAAGACCGAGAACAAGCCACGAGAGTCAAGACAAAGATCCACCCAGAGGAAAAGTGTTCTTGCCATACATCAAGGGAACCACTGACCACATAGGGAAGCTGATGAGGAAACACAACATACAAACTATCTACAGACCCACCAAGAAAATCCAACAAATGCTACGTTCAGCAAAGGACAAGAGGGATCCTCTCACTTCTCTGCAGGAGTCTACTATATACCATGCAGCTGTGGACAAGTCTACATAGGGACCACCAAACGCAGCGCCCAAACACGAATCAAGGAACATGAAAGGCACTGCAGACTACTTCAACCAGAGAAGTCAGCCATAGCAGAGCACCTGATGAACCAACCTGGACACAGTATTTTATTTGAGAACACAGAAATGCTGGACCACTCTCACAACCACCATGTCAGACTACACAGAGAAGCCATTGAAATACACAAGCATGTGGACAATTTCAACAGAAAGGAGGAAACCATGAAAATGAACAAAATCTGGCTACCAGTATTAAAAAACTCTAAAATTACAACAGCAAAACAACAGATAGGAAACAATCTGGGACATCTAATCACCTCTCAACAAAAGATTGCCCCAGGCACTGCCAGGCCATCAAATGCTAATCAAGGTGGTCAGTTGAAACATTCACACCTAGCTCCAGCAGACAAGAGTCCTTTGTCCCACCCTGGTCATTCCACAGATATATAAACCCCTTTTCCTAGTTCCAACAGACCTCACTACCTCTGAGGATGCTTTCCATAGATGCAGGCGAAACGTCAGGAGAGAATGCCTCTAGAACATGGCCATATAGCCCGAAAAAACCTACAACAACCCAGTGATTCCAGCCATGAAAGCCTTCGACAATACATGATTCAGATACTATTCTTAAAACCCACATAAGTCTGACATCCACAAACACTTTTAAATGCAGAGTTCTTGTCCTAAGATTCCTCATCCTCATTGTGAGGACCAGAGAAGATGGTTCAGGGCCAAGCCTTGAAGTCCTGGAGCTGTAACCTTGATGTATAGACTTTTCAGGACTAAAGCAAAACAAAACAAAAACATCATCAATCAAGCTGCAGCTTAAAATGCAAAATCCATCTTTAAAACATTAAAAATGGGCAATGGCCCAGTTAATCCTTTTCCTGAGCTGTACGTGGTTTCCAAATAGCACTTTACCAGCCCCTATGGAGTGCAATTTCCAATCTGCAATTCCCACAGTGCAAAGCGTCTGTAAGCTAGGTGCTGCTGACTGGAGTGTGAACAAAGGAAATTGCTTTATATCATGTTAGACTGTTGCCCCTCAAGCATAGTACTGGCAGGTTTTCAGGCCAGAGTTTTCCCAGCCTTACTTAGAAGTGCCAGGCACTTAACCTGACACTTCCTGCTTGCAAAGCAACCTCCATTCTATTTAGCTACAAGGGAAAGCATCCCATTGTCTCACACAAGTCATGCCCTGAATCCAACTAAGAGCAGAGATTAGTAGTGAGAAAGAATACTCACCTAAGCCACAGCACCGAAATTCATATCCTTCATCTTTATTCTCCTGAAGAATAGCAAGGGAGGAAGGATGACAAAAATGGAATAAGAAATCTCTGGATCCCTAGCCCCCCCCCCCTTTCAGGATCACTCATCTCATTTATTTTCTTTTTTAAATAAAAGCAGAATAATATGTTGATCTTCAAAGGGACTGGGTAGTCCTCCTCTCACTTGATGCAGCAGGTGAAATGAGATTTATGTATTGTCGAAGGCTTTCATAACCGGAATCACTGGGTTGTTGTAGGTTTTTCAGGCTGTATGGCCATGTTCTAGAAGCATTCTCTCCTGACGTTTCGTCTGCATCTGTGGCAAGCACCCTCAGAGGTCGTGATTTTTGCCACAGATGCAGGCAAAACATCAGGAGGAAGCTTGCCACAGATGCAGGCGAAATGTCAGGAGAGAATGCTTCTAGAACATGGCCATACAGAGAAATGAGCTCTATTAGATGTGAATAGGTGCTTCAACCTTCAGGGTGTGTTTGTGTGTCTTTTCATGTATGCTTCCACCTCATATATAAAAGAGAAATCAGGGTGTTTATTAGCAGTCATTACTTTGCTGTGGGACGGGGACATGGGGTCTGCTCACACACAGAACACAGACAGAAACAGCAAAGAGGGAGGCGACAGTACTATCAGCAAAGTCGGCTTAAAGGCCATATTACGTTACAGAATAAAAGTTTATGGCCTCTGAGAACGGCTTGAACCATAGATCTCTGCAGCCTGAGATGGGGACATTGTGCCAGGCACCAGGGGTGTTATCTGTATAGACTGGAATCCATTACTCAGAGTATGTAATGGGCTGGAATGATCTCACCATGTCACTCCAGCTTGGAAGATGACTTCACTAAGAAAAATATGTGCAAACACACACAAAAGTGACTGCTTAAGTCCCTATCTTAATTCATGGCTTACATGACTACAGCTGCACGTCAGCCAAGAGAGAGATTTCTTAGACACTTCCTTGATTATCTTTGGATGAATCCATAATGAGGATTCAGAAAGGAATTGTGTCCTCTGCTGTAGATTCCCAAACACCCTCATGCAGGCATAGGAAAAAACAATAACCACAACAATGGTAAAATATGCCACAAAAACAGCAATTCATCACAGCAGGCAGAAATTGGTCATTATCTCTGAGCTCTCACACTGATTTGCACAGGTTAAAAACCTGGCTGAATCTTTGCACTCTAGGACATGTCTTTATACACAGGAAACTGTGGAGACCTACAACGGTCTCTTAGGAGTTTGTACTGTATATTCTCCAGGTTAGTTTATCACATTTATTATTTTGTTATGTGTCTGCTTAGGCTCCTATAAGCACATTTCCACTCCTACAGATCCATGGTGACCTTTTGATTCATTCTCAACTTCTTTCTTTAAAACACTCAGATTTGATGTTTATAGTGAGCCATTTCCCCATGATGGCCTAGGTCCCTTCCACAATGAGAGGCAAAGCCAATCAATCTATAAAAATAGCCATGTATTTCTGTCCCAACATGCACCACTTTACACTAAATTAAACCAAATTGCAATATAAATCTCAGAATTAAACATCAGCTATTATATTGTCATTTTATGACCATGATACACCCAGGTTTAGAAGACCATGTGCAATTGCAGTACCTTTATAATGTAATCCTTTCTGGGGGTTTCATTGGGGAAAAACAGGAAATCTACATTTAAGGCAAATTTTAATTCCCATCAAATTGGCTTCATCTTGCAGTGAGAGACCTCCAAGACATCATCATCAATAGTTCGGTTCTGATCATGGAAACTCTTGGCAATAGTTTCCTTGGTACAGTCTATCCACTTTGTAATGCTGTCTTCTTCTTGCCCTACTGTCTCCCAGCAGGCATGTAGCCCGGGGGGGGGGGGGGCTTGAGGGGCTTCAGCCCCCCCCCCCCCAAATTCTCATGGTGGTCCATGAGAAGGCCTTACTGGTATATTATTTAAACTGTTATGTTTATTCATATCATGATCTGATCATCATGCTCAATATATACCATGTGCATGGGGGTATTGGGCTAACGATACAAAAGGTTTGCTAGCGTAGACCCTCTTTCATTCAGACTCAGCCCCCCCCAACCAAACTCAGCTCCCCCCCGAATCAAAATCCTGGCTACGGGCCTGTCTCCCAGGGTGCTTCAAGACAGCACTAAATCACGGGTTTTAAACAGGAGTAAAACATCCCAGGACTTCAGAAGAGGTCCACATATAGACCTGTTGGTCCCAGAATTTCTGCCTCCTTTGTCCAGACTAGATGCTTTGTTGCAAGATTTAGAGGCTCCCAAGATGACCGCCTCAGGACGTCCGCCAGAAACTTCAGCAGTTTTTTTTAAAAAACCTCAAGATGCAGATATGAGGAGAATCACTGCAGTAAATCACTGCATAAGTTCAGTTTTTTGTCCTGACCAGAGAAACTGTGACTTCCAGATGTTTCATTAAGTATCTGCCACACAAAGTTTATGGGTATGACTACTTCTGTCCCAAGTCAGCATTGCATAATCAAACAGGAACACACAAGCCAGGAACAGAACGTTGTCATTATTGACACTTTTTCGAGCCTAGCTGTCTGGCTATCTGTCCAGACATATTTGGTTGTGTACTTGTGGCATCAAACACAGGATGCTGTTCCTGGGTTATACATGGTTGTTTCTGATTGCTCTTCTTGTGAAAAGATGGACAACATTGACTAGGGGGCATAACTTTGTCCTGGCCAGAGAAAATGTGCCTTCCACATGTTTCATAAAGTTTCTGGTAAACAAAGTTTTTGCATTCTACTCAACTATCGCCTTCTTTTTAGAAACCAACCAATCAGGAACAAATATCTAAAACCTGGGAACAAACCAAGGTTTAAAAAAATCCCATAATTTCTGATTGCAGGGACATACAGACATTCAAAGATGTGGATAGTCGACTCAAAGCCGCAATATTCCTGCACCTGGAAATCTCATGTTTTTTGCCTTTTGTAGCGATTGCTTCTGCATTAACAGGGAATGGGGTCTGGCCACCCTTCTGTTTGCTGTGGAAACTCCTGAAATAAAGGTACTGTCTGGATGGGCCCCCACTTTTCAAAGCATTTTCATCTTTTGTAATGAGAATGAATGTAGTTTGAGACCACTTTAACTGCCATGAGCCAATGCTATGGAATTATGGAAGTTGTAGATCGGTGAGGCACCAGCGGTATTTGGCAGAGATTGCTAAAGACCTTGTAAAATGTCAGCTCCTGTGATTCCATAGCATTGACCCATGGCAGTTAAAGTAGTCTCAAACTGCATTCATTCTACAGTTTAGATGTAACCAGGGACTCCAGAAACCTGGTTTCAAATTCTTGTTCAGCCTGGAAATGGATTGGGTGGTTTTGGACAAGTCACACCTCTCAGCCTTTGGCTGAGGAAGACCTTAGGAAGGCAATAGCAAACCACCTCCAAATGGATTTTGCCAAAATAAGTCTTTGATAAGATCACTTATAAGAGGGAAATGATATGAAGACGTATACTAACAACAATGGATTACCATCCATGCAAAATATGGTAAAGTTAAAACCAGGGAGGCTCTCAGAATAAGGCATAATCAACCTTTCTGTGGTAATGGGCACATTTAGACAAATCACCATGGACATCACATGACACACAGCTTAGAAGGTTTATTATTTTGGATCACTATTCCCATGTTGAAGGACCCTAAAATGCATCAATTTCACTGAGATGACTCATTCTGTGACCCCTGTTGATAAAATAATAATAATAATGAAAGAACACTTTAAAGGTGACTTTAAAAAAATCTTTATCTATACAAGAACCTGTGCGTTATTTCTCTTCACTGTCTCTCTCAAAGAAACAATGACTTTGCATGCAATATCAGATGAATTTACAAGCTATGTTACCTTCATAAAATATTTATTTTACAACATTCATAAAATCTCTCAAGGAAATAAATATTAATCTTTAGAAAATACCATATACTGGCTTGGCTTCTCAAAAGAGAATCCAGGCCTAATAAAGAAGTGTGGAAGCGACATCTAGTGTCAAGGCAAGGCAAGGCAGGTACAGCTCAAATTTAGATATATAATGTGCCAGTAAAGGTAAAGGTAAAGGTTTCCCTTGACATTACCTCTAGTTGTGTCTGACTCAGGGGGGGGGGGGGGGTTGCTCATTTCAATTTCTCAGGTGAAGAGCCGGCATTGTCTGTAGACACCTCCAAGCTTATGCGGCCAGCATGACTGCATGGAACGCCGTTATCTTCCTGCAGAAGCTATACCAATTGATTCAACTTCAGAAAGGTAGATAGGTCTAAATTCTCAGATATGTTTGATGATGAGATCATATCAGTTGCCTCAGTCCCTGAGGAATACAAGCACTTTATCAAAATAGTAAAAACTGCTCACGGGCTTCTATACCGAAAGGCTGCAGAACACACCGCCTTCACAGCATTACTCCTGTGGAATCATGGGAACTGACATTTCAAAGAGAACCGTTATCTACTGTTTGTATTTTCATAGGCAAAGTAATGAAGAGCTAACAGTATTTGCAGACAGCTCATTTGCAGAAGAACAGCTCAGGAAATCAGTAAGCAGCTATTTTATACAGAATGGAAAAGTTCTGATTTGTTTGGAGGTCACAAAAATAGACTGCTGTAGCTGTTTCTACTGTAGAAGCTGAGTTTTCAGCACTTTCAGAGGCTGCAAATGAATTAATTTGGATAATACAATTACTGACTGATTTAGGTTTAGCAAATAAATGTCCAGTCACTATGTATGAAGATTCACAAACGTGCATAGCCATGGCTGAAAGTGAAAGTCGGAAGAGCAGAATGTTTGTCCAACTGTAAAATATCATAACATTGAACAATTGATTCAACAAGGAACTATAAAGTTATAATATTGCAGATCTGAAGAAAATATGGCTAATATATTAACAAAACCACTTTTAGTAGAAAAACATTACCACTTGATATCTGGTTTGGGTTCGATAGATGTGAAGAAAAATCTAACAAAATCCTTATGTTCAAGTGATTGTGTAAAGCTGTATGAAGATGTTTTGTTGTTGTTGTTGTTGTTGTTGTTGTGCTATTGTATAATTGAATGGTTGGGGATTGTCACTTAAGAAAGGAAAGAGGTGTTGGAGTTTTTAAGTTTGTCATTTCTTAAGTTACAATAAGTAAATGAAAGGATCAAGCCCAAGCATACTGTGAAAATTCAGAATCAAGTCACCTGGTTAGTCTTATGTAATTTATAACCAGGGTGGAGCAGTTGTAATGGTACTAAAGTAGTATAAAGCTTCTGTTTTGTTGAAGGTTGGTGTTGAAGAAGTTGTAATGATTGAGAGAAGAGCTGCAAAGTTCCAGAAGAAGGAGAAGGCCTCTTGCAAGAAAGAAGATTTCAATTTCAACTACTTGGGAGTGCCTGGCAGAAGGGTTAAAGAAGAGTCTCCATATTCTGCTATATTGTAAATATTCTTTTGTATAAAGTCTTTTTCAACTACAAAGGCAATTGGTGTACATCTACTCCTTAAACCGGAGAGAGAGAACTTCTGCTAAAAAGGGGGTTGTTTCTCTTGCCTCATGTTGTTGTTTATCCTAACATATCTCTCCTTATGAACCATCTAGGACTTCAAGATTGTCTGGGGAGGCCCTGCTCTCGGTCCCGCCTTCTTCACAGATGTGCTTGGTGGGAACGAGAGACAGGGCCTTCTCAGTGGTGGCCTCTCGGCTGTGGAACGCTCTTCCTAGGGATATTAGATTGGCCCCCTCCCTCTTAACATTTTGCAAAAAAGTTAAAACCTGGCTTTTTGAGCAAGCATTTGCAAATGCAGTGTAACAGGCAAAAACAGACCTGTGGAACGACTGGACAATGCAACTGGATAATAATTTTAGTAAGAAGACACTGAGGATTTATGTTTTTATTGGTTTTGTATGGTTTTATATTTTATATGCTAATGTTTTCAATTGCATTTTATGTTGTTGGGGGCATTGAATTGTGCCAACTGTAAACTGCCTTGAGTCGCCTTCAGGCTGACAAAGGCGGTATATAAATACGGCAAATAAATAAATAATCCGTTCAGTCACTACCGACACTTCATAACCTCAGGGACCAGGCCATGCCAGAGCTTCCTGTCGGCCGTGGCCGTCCCCAGCTCCTTCAAGGTCAAGCCAATTACTTCAAGGATAACATCCATCCATCTTGCCCTTGGTTGGCCCCTCTTGCTTTTTCCTTCCATTTTTCTCATCATCATTATCTTCTCCAAGCTTTTCTGTCTTCTCATTCTGTGTCTAAACTCCTTCATCTTTGTCTCTAATATCCTTCCCTCCAGTGAGCAGTCAGGCATTAGTTGCCTCATACATAAACTTATTAATTCCACCGTGACATTTTCTAGTCCTCCAGCATAACTTTATGGTGCATTTGAGCCAGATGTCCTTCAATTCAATTGGGTTCATTATTATCCATGGTTATCAGCACAAACTCTGGTAACATATTCTCAGATGATATAGGGATACTATTTTACAAATATGAGTGAAATGTAGACAATGAGAAAGTGATGAGGCCAAATATAGTATTCACTTTATAGGTATTATTTTTCTATAGGGATTTTTTAAAAAAGGGAATCTATTCCCTTTGACAATTCTGCAGGGAAACATGCTGGAATGAGAACTTTGCTTTCTGAGTTAATGCTCTCAAAACTATTTTGGGCCTTGTAGTCTCAGTGCCGCTTATGCTCAGCAGGCTGAGTGTCAACAATCTTGAATGCTGCCACAAGGTGACTGTCAGCATTGCCCTTGCATTCGTCCAAAATGTAACACATCACCTCTGAGGACAGCACTCTTGCTGTCTGTTTCCCAGGGATGTGAGGTGCCGTAGCTGCTGACTAACGGGGACGTGGGGGAAATGATACCCAGGTTCTTCCACTGCTTGAGCTTGTAGGTGCCCTTGGGTCTGGGATCTATCTGAATTGTTAGCAATGAGGTCACCTCTCAATTATAGCTGAGCTGGAGGGTCTGAGAGGCTCAGCGGAAGCTTGGCTATTGATCAGCCTCCACTTAAACTCCCCCGAGGGCTTTTGTTTCAGGAAATCTCTTTCTTCTCCTGTAGACATACACTGTGGTGTTATTCTGAAAGGGAGGCCATAAGTTTAGCACTTAAAGGAATAGAACCTGAAAATGCTACTATCAAGTAATGGCAACTTGTCTTTGTTTTTAAAATCAGCTATATGTATATGATTGCAGAACATTACTATGTACCCTAAAGGCATTTGCTAAGGAGGGCATCTCTGATTAGATTGGGAGACCAACAATTAATACAGGTGCTGCTGAGGCTTTATTTCAGAGGAAGAAATTGGCACTTAGCATTCGTTGCCTAAGAAAACCTTATGAAATTCATGGGATCACCTTATGTTAAAAGGCAACTTGAAGATACACATATATCAAGGAGGGGGCTAGTGGGAAAATAGGGTCCAGCTGAGATGGCTTAAGAAAGTTAGATATCCTCTTTCTTAATCTTGAGCTCTTGAATGTCATGTGCCTTACAAACATATGCAAAAACAAAAAGAAAGGAACTTCACTCAGAACCATAATTGATTAACACCATTTTAATCAATTACGTTTCTTGACATTAATATTATCCAGGACTGTTACTTGTTATTTTCTGTTAGTTAAGAAGAGCACAAAGAAGTTGCATTTTAAAAGTAAGCTAATGAGTGAGAACAACACTACTTTGGCTGGATGGAAGAATCAATAACATCAAGCTGTAATCCCCCAGTCAAGCAAAGGGAAAAAGAAGCAAGAGAGTAAGAAGCACAAGGATAAACTGTTTCACCTTGGTTTACCTCACAGCTGGCATTGCCCCCCCCCCCTGCCCCCGATGTGCGACGGGAAGTTGCTGCTAAATGTGAGAGAAAAAAGGTTGAACACTGTGAAAGCCATCCACTACTTGGCTACCAGCCTCCTCTCAAATCAAGGAAAAGCTTTATGAGAACTACCACTCCTCTTTGTGTCCCCCAGCAACAGCAAGGGTATCCCTCTGGACAGTTAAACCAGGAAATCCCAACTGGATACCCCCTCCCCCCAAACGAGGGTCTTCCTCCAGGGTCAAACCAAGAATGGGCAACTTGGAAGTCCCTGAATAGACTCAGAAGTGGAGTGGACAGATCAAAAGACAACCTGGCAAAATGGCACTACCTAAAAGAATCCCACACCTTGTGTGACTGTGGAGCAGAACAGACAACTCCGCATCTGCATGCTTGTCCACTCTGCCCTGCCTCATGTACAGAGGAAGAATTGTTGGAGGCTACAGACAATGCCATTACTGTTGCCCGTTTTTGGTCAAAAGATATTTAGCCGCCTGAACTCCTATTTTTATCAGTTTTATACTAATTTATGCAATGCTTTTGAAATGAAAGAATAACCTCACAGCAAGGGCCAGAAATCCCTGGACATCCTGGGTGACTTCTGCCTCACTCTGGGTTTTTGGGCTCATGTAGGCAAGCCCCTGGTCTCTTTTACATCAAATGGCAGGTATCACTGAGAGAAGCTTCAAATGTTTGTGATGTGAGAAGGGAGGCTGCTGTTAAAATATAGTTTCTCCCACACCAGAACAAGACCATGCATGTCCCTAAGAATCTAATTGAATCTAGGCTACAACAGCGAAGTAAAATATTTTTCTTAAAGGCTCTGCATTGGATTTGAACAAATTCATACCAGTTCTGAGAGTGATGCAATGGTGATCCATCACGCCCACTGTCATCCGGAACAACACCGCCAATCTTCCATCATTGTGGGCCTAAGCAACAACCGGAAGGCCTACCAATTAGAAGTTTTAGCGTTCAGCTGGTTGCCATTAAGAACTCATAGCAACATAAATCCTGTTATTTTCTGCAACATCGCCCTCTCGGGCTGGAGGTGCAATAACATCATCCCACACTGCTGCTAGAACTATCTCCTTGAAGTCTCTGCCTGCAATATATAAGACCAACTCCCACCAAGCTCTATCAGCTTCTCACTTGGGCGGTCAAGAAGAACTAAGGACCGGGCCAAGGGGTGCCGGCTTGTTGTCCACGGGCCCTAGAAGCTGGGTCCTGTGTTTCGATCTGCCCGTCCTAGTTGAATGACATTGGGAATCTCTTGTGGGCACTGACTTTGAGTAATAGAATTATCAAGCACTTTAGCCTTGGTCCCAAACCACTAAGTTGCTGCTGAGGTGTTGGCACTATAGCACTTTAGACAGACTGAGTCTCTGGTTAACCCTTGATTTACATTGTGTACTTCCAGTAATCTACTGATGTCATCACTTTTGTCACTTTTATTATTACTGATCTCCATCTTTGCCAGTGACGCACAAATGCACTTTAGGATTTCCAGCAAACTGGAAGGAGTAGAAAGTAATGAGGGGGATGACCCGGAGGGTCAAGAGATATACAATTACAACAATGTCTGTTATTATGCATCAACAACTGATTCTGCAAGTGAGGAGTATGGAGGAAATCCCCCCAGGGCGGGTGGTTCTACGGGTGGGGGGCTGCTATAGGGGTGGTGACAGGTAGGGGGAGATACGGGAAAGGGAGAACGAATCACCCAACTCGACCCAAAATTTATAACATTAATCTGGCAAACTCAAAACGTATTAAGGACTTGGGACAAAAACAAATTCGGCCCAAAATTTATAATAGAACATTGGCAATCCCAAAGATTACTCATACCACAACCATACAAACGATTTGGCCTGAAAATAATAGGAATGTATTGGCAATTCCAAAAAATCCTCCCGACAAGATACAGCTGAGATGTCAGGATGGTGGCCCCTCTGGGCTAAGGGTGGTGCTGTTTAATGCCAGGTCGGTAAATGGAAAAACCTCCATCATTCAAGATCTAATTCAGGTGGAACGAGCCGACCTGGCATGTATAACAGAGACCTGGTTGGATGAGGGGGGAGGGGTGAATCTCTCCCAGCTGTGCCCACCAGGTTACTCTGTGCAGCACCAGCCAAGATCCGGAGGGCGGGGAGGAGGAGTGGCAGTGGTCTATAAGGTTTGCATCCCCCTGATCAGGTGCCCCATCCCACAATCATCGTCATTTGAGTGTGCCGGCTTCAGGTTAGGTGACTGGGACAGGATAGGGATTCTGTTAGCGTACTGACCACCCCGCTGCACGACAGTCTCCCTACCTGAGCTAGCAGGAGTGGTATCGGACATGGCGTTGAGCTCCCAGCGGCTTTTGGTCCTGGGAGATTTCAATGTTCATGCCGAGACCTCTCTTTCAGGAGCGGCTCAGGACTTTATGGCCGCCATGACAACCATGGGCCTGTCCCAATTAGTATCTGGTCCCACCCATACTGCCGGACACACACTGGATTTGGTCTTCTCTCAGGGATGGGGTGATAGTGTCGGGGTGGAGGAGCTGACCATCGCTCCATTGTCATGGACCGATCACTACCTGATTAGGTTTAGACTTACTGTACCTCCTAACCTCTGCAGGGGTGGTGGACCCATTAGAATGGTCCGCCCCAGGAGGCTTATGGATCCAAATGGTTTCCTGGCGGCTCTTGGGGAATTTCCCACCTCCTTGACTGGCGACCCTGTCAATGCCTTGGTCTCTCACTGGAACACCGAGATGACTAGGGCAATTGACACAATCGCTCCGGAACGCCCCCTTTCGAGTAACCGAGCTAATCCGGCCTCTTGGTTTACTGAGGAGCTGGCAGCAATGAAGCGAAAGAAAACGTGGCTAGAGCGCGTGTGGTGCAGGAGTCCGACTAAATCAGCCGAAACACATCTGAATGCTTTTCTAAGGTCCTACGATGTGGCAATAGCGGCAGCACAAAAAACATCTTTTGCTGCCAATATTGCATCTGCGAAGAATCGTCCAGCTGAGCTCTTCAGAGTTGTCAGGGGTCTGTTAAACCCGCCGAAAAGCGAGCTCCCTGACAGCTCTGGAGCTCACTGTGAAGCGTTTGCTCGATTCTTCGCAGATAAAATTGTGCGGATTCGGTCGGTTTTTGACACCACTTTACCTGCAGTCTCTGAGAATGTAACGAGAGCATCTGCTTGTCAGGTTTTATTGGATTCATTTCAATTGGTTCAGCTTGAGGATGTGGACAGGATCCTTGGAGAGGTGCGACCCACCACATGCATCCTAGACCCCTGTCCATCCTGGCTGATAAAAGAAGCCAGAGGGGGTTTGGCAGAGTGGGTAAAGGTGGTGGTTAATGCCTCCTTACAGGAGGGAAAATTTCCAGCAAGCTTAAAACAAGCTATTATAAAACTGCTGTTGAAAAAACCATAACTGGACCCCACTCAATTAGACAACTATCGGCCAGTTTCCAATCTCCCCTATTTGGGCAAAGTCCTGGAACATGTGGTGGCAGCACAACTCCAGGGATTTCTAGTAGACACTGATTATCTTGATCCGGCACAGTCTGGCTTTAGATCGGGACATGGAACGGAAACAGCCTTGGTCGCCTTGGTAGATGATCTTCGCAGGGAACTGGACAGGGGGAGTGTGTCCCTGTTAGTTCTGCTGGACCTCTCAGCGGCCTTCGATACCGTCGATCACAGTATCCTTCTGGGACGCCTCATAGATATGGGTCTCGGGGGTACTGCTTTGCAGTGGCTCCAGTCATTTCTTGAGGGACGGTCCCAGAAGGTGTTACTGGGTGACACCTGTTCGGCCCCAACCGTTGTCGTGTGGAGTCCCACAGGGTTCGATTCTGTCCCCAATGTTATTTAACATCTACATGAAGCCGCTGGGGGAGATCATTCGGAGTTTCGGATTGAGATGTTATCTCTACGCAGATGATGTCCAGATCTGTCACTCCTTCTCACCTGTCACCAAGGAGGCTGTCCAGACCTTGAATCGGTGTCTAGCTGCTGTGTTGGACTGGATGAGAACTAACAAATTGAAATTGAATCCAGACAAGACAGAGGTATTACTGGTCAGTCATAAGGCCGAACAGGGTATAGGGTTACAGCCTGTGCTGGATGGGGTTATACTCCCCCTGAAGACACAGGTTCGCAGCTTGGGAGTGATCCTGGACTCATCGCTGAGCCTGGAACCCCAGGTCTCGGCGGTGGCCGGGAGAGCTTTTGCGCAATTAAAACTTGTGCACCAGTTGCGCCCGTACCTTGGGAAGTCTGATCTGGCCACGGTGGTCCACGCTCTTGTTACATCCCGAATAGACTACTGCAACGCTCTGTACGTGGGGTTGCCCTTGAAGACTGTTCGGAAACTTCAATTAGTCCAGCGAGCGGCAGCCAGACTGCTCACCGGAGCGACATACAGGGAGCAAACCACCCCCCTGCTGTGCCAGCTCCACTGGCTGCCGATTCAGTTCCGAGCACAATTCAAGGTGCTGGTTTTGACCTACAAAACCCTGTATGGTTCCGGTCCAGTGTATCTGTCCGAACGTATCTCCCTCTACGTCCCACCCCGGAGTCTGGGGAGGCCCTGCTCTCGACCCCACCACTGTCACAAGTGAGGCTGGTGGGGACGAGGAGCAGGGCTTTCTCAGTGGTGGCCCCTCATCTGTGGAACTCACTCCCGGGGAAAATCAGGGCATCATCATCCCTCCTCGCCTTTAGGAGGAAGGTAAAGACGTGGTTATGGGACCAAGCCTTTGGGCACTCTGGCAATTAAATTAGACAATCAGGCGAGTAAGACCAACAGGATTGATGAAGTGGAACGTAAAACTAGATCTATGTGTTAGCGAATGCTGACCATGTAAGACGAGAAATTGGGTTTGTATTGGTTTTATTGATTTTATGGTTATAATGCATGAACTGTTGTTAACTGTGAATTGATGTAATTTTGTGTATGATTGTTTTATGATGCAGACATCGAATTGTGCCTTTGCCTTTGTAAGCCGCCCTGAGTCCCCTTTGGGGTGAGAAGGGTGGGGTAGAAGAACCCCAAATAAATAATAAATTTGTATGCTGTGCTAAGAATCTAAGAGACTGAACACTGCGTTCAGTTTCAAGTCTGTGTTCAGTTGTTTCTAATATGTGTCTGAAATCTTTCAGACACATACACTATTGGAAATAGCTCAGTTATGTATAATTAACAACAACCTTTGAAATAGGGTGCTTAAATAATGGAAAAATTAATCAGCTGCAATGTATAAGGAGATAAACTGGGCAGGAAGGAGGCAGGAAACTGAAAAGTTTTCTACTGGGAGAGGATCAAAATTAGATGCCACCCATTTGTATGGTTGTTTTTAACTGATTGCAAAATGTTCTTTTTTTCATGGATTTTCTCCTTTGAAAAAACATTGTTTTACTTAGTACAATTTGCATTAATACATCAAAATTTATATTAGGGATTCAAAATCCTAATCCCCTCCCACACTGCCATCCTCTTTTTATTTTGTTTCATGTCTGAATTAGTTTTTAAAACTGAAGACAAGGAACTGTCTTTTTGCTTATAAAGTGCCACATACGGAGATGGTGCAATATAAATATTGCAAATGATGGTGATGAAGAAAGAAAATAGTGACTATTATCAACATACAAATCTGGAAACTACAATCAAAATTAAACTAGATGTGTGGGATTAGATTATTTTGTACAATGATCCATTATATGAAATAATCCAATTTAGCCAAATAAACATTCTCCCATTGACCCTGCACTCTTTGTTAAGTGTTTCTCAAATGCTCAGAACTCCCCCCCCCCCCCTGCCCAGTTTGTAAACCTCCTCTACCTTCTGATCCTTCAATCTATCCACTGACAGCCATCTGTTTGGCACATGAGAGCACAGAAATTCAGCACACAGCTGCTTGGATGCAGGCTGCTCCTGCTCTTACAGGCATAAGGATCAGTAGATTGGACTGCTAGCAACAAAA